CCGGAGTCGAGTTCCTTTCAACTGGGCGGGAATGATGTAGCCATCCCCTTTCGTGATTGGGCCAAAAAAGGGCAAAAAAATTGACGTTAGTAGGATTATTTTAATTATTCTTTTGTTTAGGGAGTGAGCATTGATAATTAGCAGGGCGACTTTAGAGTTTATATTGTGTTTATCTTGTAATAGGATATAATTAGGATAATGGTAAATTTAGAAGAGTGTTTATCTTTATTAACAATAATCAACTTGGGAGGTTTTTTTTTGGGTAAAACATGAAAGGGTAAACATGGCTATCTAGAAGCCCATGAATATCAGAGAGAGCAAATAGGGATAGGTGTAGAGAGAAGCTTTTTATCAGTTATCTTATTTTAGTCTATTTAAAGGGATATCTCTTTTCATTGTAAATCAATCTATGAATTGAATAAAAATTAGTCTCTTGAAAGAGATTGTTTTGGGGGTAGATTCCCTTGCAGACCTTTGAGAAAAAGAATTTTTCTCTTAACTTTCATTCTTTTTATTGTCAATTTTCTGGTTTTATTCTCTCCCTGCATCATGTTTCATTTTGTGCTCCTAATAAATCGTGACGTAACAACAAAGTAAACATTGTTGCTGGATTTATTGAAAGTTTCAACAAAAAATTGTTAAGTATTACTCTAATGACAATAGTTAGGATATAAAAGTATTATTTAATGGCTTTAGATTATCTACATAATAGTTGTAAATCATAATCTTATATTGCGGCATCTTTACATATCTGATTTTTTCACTACGTTTTTTTGAACCAAATTCGAAATATTTACGATTCTATAGCTTACTTTATTTTTTTTGGCAATTTGTATTTTTGACCTGATTTTTTGTCCGACTTTTTAAAATAAAACCGATTTGTTACCTATGTTTTGATTTGCCGATATTTTATTATTCCCTGATTTACTAACAATGGTAGAGATAGAGTTTCAAATACCAAAAAACATATAATTTTTGGTTTTTCAGAACCGAAATTTTAAAATTTTGGTTTTTGAAAAACCAAACATTAAAACTTTCAGTTTTTCAAAAACCGAAAATGGGCAATTTCATCTTTTAAAAAAAAAAAAGTGTTATGACATTGAAAAAAGAGACATATGTGTAATAATGGAAAGTTTTAAATATTTTTAAAATAATATAAAATATAACAAATATTTAAGTAATTTTTCCTAAAAAATAAAAATTAAAAAAAACAACAGGCTGATATGAGCCATATCAGACCAAAGGGCAAACTAAAGAAAATAAGACCGACCTTCCGCACAATATTTTAAGTTTCTAGTGTTGATTAATTTGTGTAATGACATTAAAACAAGGGTGCAATTTGCATACGCATGCATCCGTAGGTGAAGAGGTAAGATGCACCTTCAAATTTTATTAGGGTATATAGTCTTGATGTAAAATGTTCTTAAGATTATCTCAAAATCTATTTTGATATCTAATTATAAAATTTAAAATTTCAAAAATAGTTAAAATCAAGTAGATCCATAGACATATGAAAATCTTGAAAATGGACGGTGTAGATAATATGTTGTAAAATGCACTCTTTATGAGACTTAAAATCTTTTTACTTTTCATAGTCATACATCTCGATGTCGATGATCAATCAAAGGGTTTTTCAACATTAAAACTATCTTTTCCGATAGATTTTTGAGGGGCATCCGTAGTTCTACATTATAAGGTAGCATCCTTATATAAACTTTTTCCTTAAAATAAATAGGAAAATATGGAAAGACCCTTTTTTCTTTCCGAAGATTGTGCGAAAGGTCTGTCTTTCGTGGTTTTCTTATTTTTTCTACTTTGCCCTTTGGAATGATGTTACCAATATCATACCATTTCTTTTTTGACCCGGTTTCTATGCGGCCAATCCGCATATGTAGAAATGCGGGCCTATTAATAAATCTATTTTTGAGATAGATTTTTTAACTTAATTTTTAAAGTTATGTAGTCTCTAACATGGAGATCATAAATATGAAGAATAAGTAAATTTTTAAAACTAAAAATAATTTTTTTAGTAAGAATACAATTGGACCGTTAGTTTTCATTTTTTTTTAGGTGGAACACCTACTTGCATCATCTTTAAGATGGATGCTTTACACTTTTTGGACTGCAAATGTAGAAATGCGGTCCAGCCCGCATGAAACAAATTTTTGTTAGGGTGTGGTTTTTATAAGGTTGCAACCTTAAATAATCCAATTAAGGCACATCTATAAATTTTACCATAACAAGTCATTCTGATATAAATTTTTTTTAGGATTATCTTAAAATCTATTTTCAAATATAATTATAAAATTTTAAACTTAAAAAATGTTTAAAATTAAGCCGATCTATAAACATACGGAAATCTTGAAAATAGACGATGTAGATAATGTGTTACAAGATGCCCTATTTCTAAGACTTACAGTCTTTATTTTAGTAAGGCCCTGTTTGGGTATATGGATTTTAAGGCGTGGATTTCTAATATCTTGGATATTACCAAAATCCACTACTTAATGACTAAGATACTTAAAATCAAGAAAATTAAAATCATAAAAATAAGACCTAGTTTTTCATATTTTCATTTCCGCACCAAAACCTATTTTTTTGAATATCCAACCCCTATGGATTTCAATCATTGGCTCCCTCAACCAGAAACATAGGGAACATTTGGAGGGTACTAGAATTTTAGAGAGAGAAAGTACCTAAATTTTTTTAAAAAGAGAAAGTACTCTTAAATTTTTTAGAGAGATAAACTATCTTAAATTTTTTAGAGAGGGAAAGTATGCTAAAAGTTTAGAGAGAGAAAATATGTTAAAATTTTAGAGAAAGAGAGTACCAAATTTGTTTAGAGAGATAAACTATCTCAAAATTTTAGAGAGAGAAACTATCTCAAAATTTTAGAGAGAGAAACTATTTCAAAAAATTTAGAGAGAGAAAAACTATTTCAAAAATTTTAGAGAGAGAAACAATCTCAAATTTTAATTTTAGAGAGAGAAACTATATCAAATTTTAGAGAGTACCTAAAATTTTTTAGAGACAGAAACTATCTCAAATTTTTTATAGAGAGAAACTATATCAAATCTTAAGTTTTAAAGAGAGAAAGTATTCTTAAAATTGTAGAGAGAGAAAGTATTCTTAAACTTTTAGATAGAAACTATTATAAATTTTAGAAAGAGAAACTGGCAAAAAAAAATTAGAGAGAGAAATATCTCAAGTTTCTTAGAGAGAGAAACTATCTCGAATTTTGAGTTTTAGAGAGAAACAATATCGAATTTTGAGTTTTAGAGAGACAAAATATGTTAAAATTTTAAAAATAGAAATTATATCAAATTTTAGAGAGAGAGAAACCATCTAAAAAATTTTAGAGATAGAAACTATCTCAAAATTTTTGGAGAGAAACTATCGCAAAATTTGTTTTAGAGAGAGAAAATATCTTAAAAGTTTAGAGAGATAAACTATATCAACTTTTAGATAGAGAAAGTACATGAAATTTTTAGAGAGGAACCATCTCATAAAATTTTAGATGGAGAAACTCTCAAAATTTAAGTTTTGGAGAGAGAAAGTATCTCAAATTTTAAATTTCAGAGAGAGAAAGTATATCAAATTTTAGATAGACACTATATCAAATTTTAAATAGAGAAACTATTTCAAAATTTTAGAGAGAGCAACTATCTCAAACTTTAAATTTTAGAGAGAGAAAACATTTTAAAATTTATTAGAGTACTATATCAAATTTTAGATAGAGAAAGTACATAAAAGTTTTTAGAAAGAGAAACTATCGCAAAATTTTTTGAAAAAAATTATCTCAAATTTTGACTTTTAGAGAGAAAAAGTATCTTAAAATTTGAGAGGAAACCTATGTCATATTTTAGAGAGAAACTATCTTAAAAATGTTTAGAGAGAGAAACTATCTCAAAATTATTGAAAAGAGAAACTATCTCAAGTTTTAAGTTTTAGATAGAGAGTATTTTAAATTTTAGAAAGAGAAACTATATTAAATTTTAAAGAGAGAAAGCACTTAAATATTTTAAAGAGAGAAACTATCTCAAAATTTTTAAAGAAATAATTTCAAATTTTAAGTTTATTTTTAAAGAAATAATTTCAAATTTTAAGTTTTGAATAGAAAGTATATCAAATTTTAGAGAAAAAAACCATATCAAATTTTAGAGAGAGAAACCATATCAAATTTTTTTAAAAAAAAAATCTCAAAATTGTATAGACGCATTATCCCAACTTTTGAGTTTTAGAGAGAAAAAGGATATTAAACTTTTAGAGCGAAAAATTGTAACAAGTTTAGTTACCTATATGAATTTTGTATAGTTTATCCAAACGATTTGACGAATCCACGACAAAAATCATTGATATTGTAAATCCATATATTTTTTTGAATTTCAAATATGAAAGATTCCTAATTTCCTCTTCTCCAAACGAACTCTGGGTTTTTCAATATCACAGCAACCTTTTTCCCTGAAGTTTTGAGGTTCACCTTTAATTCTACATTTTCTAAATTTGGGGTCTCTCCCAACACAGCCAATTCCTGTTCTCTCTCCTCGTTCGAATTCCTCCCAAATTTCTACTCCCTCTCTTTCTCTCTCTAAACCGTCCGAAATTCTCGCTCTCCTCACTTTCTCTCTTGAAACCCTCCGAAATTTTGACTCCCTCCTCATACCGCTATTTCTTGGCGCTCTTCCCACCTCTTTCCAATCTCTTGCACTCTCTAACTCCAGATTTCCCTAACGAACCAATCAGATTTCGTGCTCTCTCTCTCTCTCTCTCCTC